GGGAAAAAGGGCAAAAATTCCTCGCCGCCCTCGAAATTTGTGGTATTGCGCTAGGCCGGTCTCACGCTAGAGGGGGGGTTGGTGGGGCCCCGGCCCAGAAAAAAAAAGTCGAAATTTATTTTTTGCCGGCCTTGACAAAATCTCTGTTCGGTTGTGTTGAGTGCGAGAGAGAAATTCTTTTGAAAGGACCCCACGTCGCCCGCCCGCCCTCTTTCACATATCTTTCTCCTCCGCGCAATCTTCCAACCTTACCTTCCCTCCTCCACCCCTCACACAGGTCGACTTTGTCTTGTGCAATATCCCAAATTCTTCAAAATGGCGGACGAGGTCTACGATGGTGCCATTGGCATCGACTTGGGTAAGTTGCGCAACCCCTCCTCATCGTTATGATGCCCTTCTTGTCGGCCCTCTTTGCGGGGTGAAGAAACATCACCGATCATCGCCACCACAAACCACCACACATCAGCCAAAAAAAAATCCCATCACCACTCAGCGCCCACGGGCAAACACCATCTACACAGCGCAGAAACCAGAAAGGCTAACATTGTGTCTTCCTCATTAAAGGAACCACCTACTCCTGCGTTGCGACGTACGAGGGTACCAATGTCGAGATCATTGCCAACGAGCAGGGTTCTTTCACCACCCCTTCTTTCGTCTCCTTCACCGACAAGGAGCGTCTGATCGGTGAGGCTGCCAAGAACCAGGCTGCTATGAACCCCATCAACACCGTCTTCGATGTCAAGTGAGTAGCCGCGCCTGTGTCTTTCGCTGCTCTGATGCCTCTCTCTGGGCCGACGGGAATTTTCCCCGCCCAAGGAGGGGTAAAACAAAAGCAGCCGAAAAAATTTCCATCACCAAACACTTTGCTGACTAGCCGTTCCTTCACAGGCGTCTTATCGGTCGCCGCTTCGATGACCCTACCGTCAAGAAGGACATGGAGTCCTGGCCCTTCAAGGTCGTTGACGACAACGGCAGCCCCAAGGTTTCCGTCGACTACCTCGGCGAGACCAAGACCTTCTCTCCCCAGGAGATCTCCTCCATGGTTCTCCTCAAGGTACGTTTCTTCTGCTGCTCGGCTTGTACGCCAGGCGCCAAGTTTGTGCGACGCAACATGTTAACACCCCAAACAGATGAAGGAGATCGCCGAGACTAAGATCGGCAAGAAGGTCGAGAAGGCCGTTATTACCGTCCCTGCCTACTTCAACGACAACCAGCGTCAGGCTACTAAGGACGCCGGTGCCATTGCTGGCCTGAACGTCCTCCGTATCATCAACGAGCCCACTGCTGCCGCCATTGCCTACGGTCTTGGTGCTGGCAAGTCTGGCAAGGAGCGCAACGTCCTCATCTACGACTTGGGTGGTGGTACTTTCGATGTCTCCCTCCTGAACATCCAGGGCGGTGTCTTCACCGTCAAGGCTACCGCTGGTGACACCCACTTGGGTGGCCAGGACTTCGACACCAACCTGCTCGAGCACTGCAAGAAGGACTTCCAGCGCAAGACCAAGAAGGACCTCTCCGGCGACGCTCGTGCCCTCCGTCGTCTCCGTACTGCTTGCGAGCGTGCCAAGCGTACCCTTTCTTCCGGTGCCCAGACCACCATCGAGATTGACTCTCTCTTCGATGGCGAGGACTTCACCACCCAGATCACCCGTGCTCGTTTCGAGGAGCTGAACGCCAAGGCCTTCAACGGCACCATTGAGCCTGTTGCCCAGGTTCTCAAGGATGCTGCCATTGAGAAGTCCGGCGTTGACGAGATCGTCCTCGTTGGTGGCTCTACCCGTATTCCCCGTATCCAGAAGCTTCTGTCCGAGTTCTTCGACGGCAAGAAGCTCGAGAAGAGCATCAACCCCGACGAGGCCGTCGCCTACGGTGCCGCCGTCCAGGCCGGTATCCTCTCCGGCAAGGCCACCTCCGCCGAGACCGCCGACCTTCTCCTCCTCGACGTCGTTCCCCTGTCCCTCGGTGTCGCCATGGAGGGCAACATCTTCGCCCCCGTCGTTCCCCGCGGAAACACAGTTCCGACTATCAAAAAGATCAGTCGTCCCGTTCTCTATCGTCTCGAATCTGACTAACATCCACACACAGGACCTTCACCACTGTTGCCGACAACCAGCAGACCGTTCAGTTCCCCGTTTACCAGGGTGAGCGTGTCAACTGCGAGGACAACACCTCCCTGGGTGAATTCACCCTTGCTCCTATCCCTCCCATGAGGGCTGGTGAGGCCGTCCTTGAGGTCGTCTTCGAGGTCGACGTCAACGGTATCCTCAAGGTCACCGCCACTGAGAAGACCTCCGGCCGCAGCGCCAACATCACCATCTCCAACTCTGTTGGCAAGCTCTCTTCCCACGAGATTGAGAACATGATCAACGGTATGTGCAGCTTCCAGTCACAGTATTGAATGACGTTGCTAATGAATATCAGACGCCGAGAAGTTCAAGACCAACGACGAGGCCTTCAGCAAGCGCTTCGAGGCCAAGCAGCAGCTTGAGTCTTACATTGGCCGTGTTGAGGAGATCATCTCCGACCCCACTCTGTCCCTCAAGCTCAAGCGTGGCCAGAAGGACAAGATCGAGCAGCAGGTCTCCGAGGCCATGGCTGCCCTTGAGATCACCGACTCCGCCGCCGAGGACCTCAAGAAGCAGGAGCTCGCTCTTAAGCGTCTCGTGACCAAGGCCATGTCTTCCCGCTAAAGGGTTTTAAATGAAAACTAAAAATGGCCTTCGGGCCTGGCGAAGGGTTGCTTATCTGGTTCAACTTTCTTGCGTTTGGGTGGCCGAACAGAATCAGGCCAGGATGCGAATAATTTGGGTCAGGTGATATCAAAAGGCACTTAAAAGTTCCTCTTTCTTCCAGCCGCCTTCCTCCCTCTTATACCTCCACACCATCTCTCACACACTCACGACACATGGCATGCCTCTCGGGAGAGAGGGAATGCTTTCCGGGTGCCGTCTTCTACGGCTTTCATAGACACTGTAGAAAGGATCAGGGCGGACATGAAATGAAATTACGTCTACGTTACTATTAAGTCTTTATTTTCGCGTGATATGTTCTTGAGAGTGATGCCGTTACTGTTGGTCTTATCGTCGTCATCGTCGTCGTCGTCCTCCTCCTCGAGTAGCTCTGACGTGCACTCGATGGCCTGGAAGCAGGTCTGAGTAAGTCGAGACGAGGGGCAAGCTGCATTCTGGGCTGGAGACGAAGCATGAAGCCCGGAGAAGGGGGACGGAGCCCAGAGAGGATTAAGGACGAAGACAGAGGACTGAGACAGAGGACGGAGACAGAGGACGGAGACAGAGGACTGAGGCAGAGGATAGAAACAGGAATGATAACGAAACCGGAACTATGGCTAAACCGGTCGCAGGGTCTCATAAAAAGAATCTGTTCTTCATTTCTTCAGCGTCCTAGTACCAGTGTCAAAGAACAAGCAACTGCCGCGTAGGTTGTTCACACTCATATTGTTTCTGAGGGTGCGTAATAAACTATCTTCATGACTAGACACTAATTCAATCGCATTGGCATGGTTGTGAACAGCAAGTCTCATTCAGCTCGCTGTTCTCGAATCTGCGAATCAGAGAAGAATATTATGCGGTATCGTTTCCAGGTTGCGTGGTTTCCTGATTTGTGGCCGGGCCTCATTTGACTTGAAAACCTGAAATCAATTCGGAAACTACAGCATCAGAGTCGGGGATTGTTCTCGCCTACATTGTTCTTAGCTAAACTCGTGCTTATTTACGTTTCTGAACCCCAACCAAGTGGTCAAACGAGACATTCCCTGGCTCAGAGCCACCTGAACTTGATCATTCAAGTGCAACATCTTCAAGAAGTCATAGGGCATCCTCTCAGAGGTCCAAATACTCAAAAATCAAAACAATTGATCTGGCCCGGACTTGAACCGGAGACCTTTAGTGTGTGAGACTAACGTGATAACCAACTACACCACCAGACCAGTTAAATCATTGTGGAGATCACGAGGACAAGATTGCCTTGAGGGAGGGGCAAGGCGCATGGGATCGTGGTCGTCAGAGCTCAAGCGTGGGTCGCGGAGTGCTGGCCCGCTTGGTGGGCCGAAGCCGGGCCGGAGTCCGGAAGCCGCAGGTCTACCGGACATGTTGGCGACCGCTTTGATACGGCGTGCAAGATTGATTTGGCCAGCCAATTTGTGTCTTGTGCCCCTTTAAAAGTTTTTGGTTACATGGGCGAAGTTAGTTGCCAGCAGTGGGAAAAGGTAGGTGTGGAGATACTTTGCTGCGTTTCTTATATATACAGCAACATGTCTTATTCCGAATAGTGGCTCAGTAGTTGAGTCTCGACATTAGTAGCTTTGAGACCGCTTACTACGGGCCCGAAGTTGTATTTGCGTTTTCTTATAAGTAGACCTATAAGGAGAGCAAGTTTCCCTAGCGACATGGGCTTCACCGTGACGTGTCTAAGAGTTTGCGATTCTTGGGGACATTTTCGTCTTGGTATGCAGTCATGAACAACAAGCTGACTGTTTTTTTTTCGAATCGGTACTTGATTGCAACCCAAAAGTCTCCGAACGGGTTTGTTGCAGTCGTTCGCTGCTCTAGCCTGCACTAATGCTTAGGTGTTGCTAGGTTTATTTCTAAGTGACGGTCTCGAATGAGAGCAAGGCAGCTAGCTAGAATGAATTGTTAATCTTTGTACTCTCAAAATCTGCCAACCCAGAAAAGTTTCATCATTAGGATAGGTAGTCTTAGAGATGAAGTTGAAATAAAACTAACAAGGGGAAGGGGCCAGCGCGGAGTAGACTTGCCACTGTGGGGCTGACAGACGTCAATTAGGTAACCTCCCTCCCCCACCCCCCTCCATTCTAGCCGTCACTCCTCCATTTTCATTGTCTCTCGACCAACCGATCGCCGGCTCATCACGCCTGAACAGCGGAGAGCTACCAGGAGCAGCCTCTCATCTTACACGACGGTCCATCATACTCCACGCCTCGTACGGGCTGATCCGATACATGCCCGTCAACCTCCACTGCGATGGCTATCCGCGTTTTTGACAAGTTCTTCGACCTCCCCCAGGAGATCCGTGACCAAATCATCTCATACCTTTGCCTCCTCCCGAATCCGATCCAGGTAGGACCGACAGTCGACACAGAGATACCCTTCCCGCATGACCTGCTGCTTTCCCACCCACTTCTTTACGCCGCCGGCTCCGCCATCTTCTACGAACAGAACCGTTTCATCCTCAACCTCCGCGGCCGGCCCCGCGCCGCTCTCGAGCGCGCAATCTGTGACGGCACGCCGTGGCTTCTGGGCAACACTAGAGCCCGACGCCGCGTCAAGTACCTAGAGCTCTCGCCCGGCCGCCTGGGAAATGTATTCCAGAGCCACATATCCCCAGCCGTGGCGGATATGATTCTCAACGGCTCGCTGCGCCACCTCAAGCTCGTGCTGTATCCCACGAGCACCGACAAGGTGGTCTTCAACCATGATGCCGTCGATGCCCAAGGGCGGCGGGCGGCGATGACGAGGCGAGACGATGCCTTTACCCAGTCGAAGCCCTTCAAGGCCTTGCTGCGGTTACTTGCCGACCCGGATCTGGAGACGGCGGAACTCTTTGTCGACCCTATCCATCGCGACTTCTGGTGCGATTTTCATGAGGGAGTGGCGTGCTGTAAGGGCCATCCCAAGGGGCCATGGCAACTGATTCCTGTAGACTGGAAAAAGCTTGCTGCAAGCTACGGTCAGGATCATGAGCTGAGCATTGTCAGGGTAACCTCGTGATGCCAGTTACACAATCAAGGCCGTCTTGTTATGACATAGTATCCACCTGATTCGGTGCTTAGCTGCAGAGGCGTGTATGTGTCTTTGGGGGTGGTCAAACGCCATAAGAGACCACGGATTTCCAGGATAACGACACGGAGAGCAGACTCACGATCGATATACGGGTTAGAAGGTTCACCTACTTTTACCTGGGTAGATATGTGGCTTAGTCTTGTGGTTTAGTTCTCGTTTCAGACTACTACAAGACTTTCACGAATGTTCCATGCCCAGCTTCGGCCACCTTCAGGACAGCTAGTTGAAGCTCGGTAGCGGGTTTAAACTTACTAGGGTCAGTGGTGTCACCTCTGTGGCTCCTGACTTTTCAGTCTAACCCTGTGTTATTCATGGACAAGTACATATATGGAGTGCCGCAAAAGTCTTACGGAATTCGAATGGCAGTTCTTTAGGAAACTTAACTTTCCAAAAGATTGATACAACCCCCCCCCCCCCCCTATTCACAAGATTTTTACATCGACTCAACTTCACTCTATTCCCGCAGCTTTCAATTCCTACAGCTCTAATCGAACATCTACAAACTGGGAACGTCGGCTACATCCGCATTTTGCTCAAGTTCAACTTGTCGCCATGGACTCAATAAGTAGTTCCCGACTTCCGCCCGAATTGTGGCATGTCGTCTTCAAAACGTTGGTTCAGCAGTACGCTCGCCAAACTCAGCAGCCCGGTCGCTATCTCCTCAAATATGCGTGTGTCAACCGAGATTGGCAGGCCTTTTTCGAGAAGGAGCATTTCCAAAGGCTCACGGTGAGCCCGAAACGCATGCATCAGCAACTCGGGAACATGGTCTCGCGGCAAAGACGGCTTGTCCGCCACGTCTAGTTTCAAATCGAGATGGCGACTTACCCTTGCGATTGCTGTCATAAGCCTCGTAGCGACAACTTCAATCACCGGGAAAGATACTGGGAAAGATGTTACAAAGATACTAAAATTGCTCAACAAGCTTTGCATGGGATTTTCTCGATCCTGAAAAACTGGTCGCGTGGCACTGATAATGACGGACTGACTCTTGAGATCGGCCTTCACTCCCCGAGTGATTTTCATTACCGCTTTCAGCACTATGGGATTGATTCATCATTTACTCAAGCTCCGGAACACTCGTCAATCGGATACCAAGTACCATCAAAAAATCCGATGTCTGGATGTGTCAGTTGTTGTCGAACAGCGATTCCTTCACTGTGGTCGGACATGATGTTGTACGGCCTCGTCTTCATGGAGGAAAGCTTTCCCACAGTAGACGTGGTGCACCGTCTTCTCGTTCGCAGACAGACTCGCCGAATTCTGTCCGTAACATTGTGGGAGAATATGGTTAAGGCACTCACAAATCTTGGATGTTTACACCAGGAGCTCTGGAGGGTGCGGGTAAACATTAATCATCTACAATACAGGTCAGGTAAGCCTACTACACCACTTTCCTTCGCCCCATTCTCTCTTCCTTTCTTTTTTTGCCATTTCTTGCGGTGTTCCCGAGCTAAGAAGTGAGGCAGTGGTTTCCAGGGTACTCTCCGCACTATGTAATTCTAGTGAGCTTAAGAAGCTGGTGGCATTCGGAGAAATCAAGCCGTCACTCGCACCTGGACCTTACGAAGCGCTTTCCGAAGAGCTGAAATCCGAAGAGCTGATTCACCGTCTCGCTATGAGCAGCTGTAAATTGGAGCAGCTGTGCTTGTCCTACGTTGTGGACGCCTTCAAATTCTTGATCATCGCTGAAGGCCAGCCTGCCTTGCACTGGCTGAAGCTTGAAACCCTAGCACTTACATCGCCAAGTTTCCACATCGGAAATGAAGCGGGCATAATACAGATGCTTGAGACAGCTGCAAAACTCGCACGTAAGATGCCGGAACTGCGAACTTTGGAGCTTTGGAATGCAGAAAAGAGCCATGCTTTCGCCTTCACCTGCCGCATCACCCCCTCCGCGGTTGAAATCTTATATAGGGCAACTTGGGAGTTCAAGCTCGCGGGCTCCGTTGAGAAACTGTGGGAAGACTTTGCCCAAGAACGGAATCAAGGACACAAAGTCAGTGTCCAAAGGGGCCAGTTGATCAACGCCAGCGAATGGAAGTCTCATGGGGACGCCATGCACGCTCTAAATTTGACGGCGGACGTGGTACATCCATCCCGTGTCGTTGATGCAAATCCGTCGAGGGGAAATCATTTCTGCAGCTGAGATGCCACCTATGGAGCAGCAGTAAAACGGTCAAAACTATCACAAAGTCCCGTGGATTCTATTCAGGGTGTTTATGTTGGAAGTAAAACTGACAAAGTTTACAGATCGGATTTTATTAGCTCCATACTTCAATTTACGTTGTTGTTGCCATGGATAGGTTTCAGCGTCGCATGTATTATGTCGCGTGTGCTCACCCATTATTGCTGCTCGCCTGACTGGAAATCATACCATTTTTCGATATCCTAAGGCTTGTGTAAGAGTAGAGAGTATAATTGGCAAAAAAGCTTAAGCCGAACCATATTTGATAGATAGCAGCCAGGCTATCAGCCAAATTTTGAATCCGGTCACCTTGAAGGCGTGAGATCAAGCGAGTTCAGACACCGAATACCCCGAGGGAAACGGTTCAAAACTAACGTAATCCCTGAACGAAACCAACCTCAAAAGCTTCGAGCTTCTTTGTTGGAGCATCCCAAGTAACATGAGGCCCATTGCGGGAAATGTCCTGGCCCCCGGCGCGCCGCTAGACCCGCAAGCGCCGGGTGGGGCCGCGAGGAGCCCCGTAGTCAGTTTGACGGAGTCTTGGCGAGGCCCCCAAACCAAGCGACACTCCCCCTTCCGGTTCCCACTCCTATTTCATCTAAGAATGGCACCGAAACACGACGGTCGAGCCTCACGCCGAGTCCGGATGCTACCCTCCGTCCCCCGGGAAGATCTTTTCATAGAAACAAACACGCAAGGGCCCCTTACAGCACCATCGCATAGGCCAGCACAATCGCAAACCGCCAAGATTGATAGATTGCTTCACATCGAGAAAGAGGAACCAGAAACCCCCACGGCCTCTATTTACGTGCGCAGATGGGGGTGACTCTCAGACTTCAAACGTCGAACAGCTAGCTGATCCCGCGCAGCTTGGCGTGAAACTCGCACGAATCGGCTGTGCTACCGACCTTGCTCGCTTCAGTTTATCTTAAGCACAAAACCGAACAGACTGTGAGATCTGTGTCTCGCTGACATGGGGGCCAGGAAGCCATTTCTTCGAACGAACTTCGGACAGACTTCCGCGGCAGCGGTAGCGGTCGCGAAACTTGGGACGACAAGCCGCGGCGGTCTGTCCGTCCAATCTTGGCGCGTGTCGGAGGGCAGAGGGCCTCGGGGCCGGCCCGCCGCCCGAGTCTGGCTTGGCTTTGGCTCTCGTTCAGCCATTCTGCCTGCACCGCCGTGGTGGGGGTTTGGCATCGGATCAACAAAGCATACTCCAGGGCCATCCCTTGGACACCGTCGAACACATGCCAACCACCACAAACCGTCCCCCTTTTCCCTTTTCGTGGTGACGTCAACCCGGGCTGTGGTTGCGTATCATCGTCGGGACTTACAGGGCGAATGGCTGTGTTCTGTTTGCTCTGTCCAAGGTTCTGTCGCTCATCTCACGTTCCGGCAGATGCAGGGAAACTCTGTCAGAGACGGGCGCGGGTGCCGATACTGTATGCCAGATTCCGACGCCGATCCGCCAACGCGACAAGCCGCTCAACGGCCGGAGATAGATGACTTGTACATCGCTGGCGCCGCGTCTTGCCTGCAGCTCAGGTGCGCCAGACAACTGATAGAGACCCGGCCTGACTCGTCGCGTCTGCACGAGACCTGCTGTCGAGCGCAGCAAACGCAAGAGCCCTGCAAAGCAGAGTTGCCTCGAGGGGTTCCCCCGTACCGACTTAACTCCAGCGAGTGCGAATAAACTCCGAACCTGCAATTAACTTCCCGAGACGCAGGACAACATCGGCTCCAAGGGCGAACCATCAACATCCGCGTCACTACTACATTCCATTCACGACCGTTGATCATCTCTTGGTAGGCGACGATGATTTTCGCTAGATAGCGAGAGCCAAGAGGGGCCAAGAGCAATAACTCAACGCTCTAGTGGGAAAAGGAAATTCGAAGAAACTCGTCAGACCTCTCCAGCTGGCACCAGGAGTGCGCTCAGCCTCGGCATAGCGAAACCACCCCCAAAGCCCCCTCGGCGCCCCGCGCCCATCGTGATATTCTCTGTGTCTCTTGTCATGTCTCTACTACCCCACGTGTCTCAAGAACCCCCTCGTCAATCAACCACCCGCTTGTCTCTCTGTCTCTCTGCCCCCGCCCTTCTCATCTCCCTCCTAAACTCTCTCTTTCTCTGTTTCTCAATGTACCCCGAGCGACGTCAACCAACTGCCATATGTACAACAAAAAGAAAATGGGTAATTAGCAAGCAACGCGCAATCCTGATTCCATGAAAATGTCAAACCTGGCGGTCTCCAATGCGGCACCGACACCCCACACCATTCAGCCCCCCTCCCAATCCTCCGTCAGTCAATCAATCAACCCAAAGCCACCACGCCAACTGCCTGGTTTGAAATGAGTCGTAGAGAGAGACAGAGAGCAAGAGAGATGGAAAAGGAGGGGTGGCAAGGACTGGAACCAGCGCATTCCACCACCATTTTCGAAACCTGACCTCTCTTGCCTACCGCCCATCCGGGTCACACATTCTCTCTCTGTCTCTTCGCATTCTTTGCACCCTTCCCTGATCAGCGGGGTCAGATGTCAGATCATTGCATGAAGAGATCCACATGTGAAGTTTTCTGTCTTCATACCGCCGTATTTCTTGTGTAGATTTGCGCGCGCTGGCACTCTGTCTGGGGGCAGCAGCAGCCATTCATTCACTGGCTCCCCGCTTGCCCCAGGGTTGTTAATCTATCTCATCGTCTATCTCTCTCCTGTCCCCCACAGGCTCGCCTGACACATGTGATTCCTCCTTCCCTTGATCCGCGTAACCCGGCAATGTGCTGCGTAGAACCATCAAACCTCCAATGGCGGTATACCCGAAGCAGCAAACCTGTCTGCCCACCACCCACATCCTGCATGACGACTTTCCTTCTCCCCCTTCTTCAACTGACGAATCGCCAATTGCGGATTAGTCTACACAAAAGCACCAGACCAGCGTAGCCGTTGTTATCATATCAGACAGAACATGCAGGCAATAAGTTAGTAGCTCCATGCAAAAGAAAACGAGACGGAGGTTTGGCCGTTCAACTCCTGTGGTATTTTTTTCCTAGTTTCTGTGTGAAAAGATACTTTTTTTGCCTGGTTTCTGTGCCAAAAAAAATCCCATGCCGTTCCGTCCCAGACTCTATAAACGAATGGGCTTCGGTTTTGTCCTGTATCTCACATGGACACAATTTGCCTGGTCCTCGCTATCCGTGCGAATGCATTCTGCTTCCCGAGAAAAGAAAAAGAGTCGTTAAAAACCAGAGATCCTGCGCCATGGGAGTGGTCTTCCCATTCTAACTCGCTTGCTGATAATGATCAAAAAACCATCGGGGTTTCCTGCACCTTGCAACGAAATCTTAATCTTGCTGCCGCTCCAAACTTTGATACGAACGCTCTCGCATTTAGATGCGGGCAGGTAAGAAGATCATCGTCGAAATTTAGGACAGGAGGGCGGGGTGCCAGTCCTCCTTGTGCTCGTCGGGGTGCTCGCCGTAGTGGACGGGGCCGAGCTTGAGGAAGCGCAGGCCGTTGCTGCCGGCGCTGCTGACGCTGGATGTGCGGCGCTTGATGGGAGCGGGCGCGGGCGAAGCGACGGCCGCGGGTTGTTGTTGGGCCTTGAATGGGTAGGAGGAGGAGGTGGTGGGGGCGAGAGAGAGGAAGACGGAGTTGTCGACGGGAGAAGACATTTTGGCGGTGGTGTTTGGTGTTTGGTTGTTGTTGTTTGGATTAAGGACGGTGTGTTATGGAGGAAACAGGTCAACTGCTTTTTTTGTTCGAGACGGATGGTAGAGATTGAGCTTTGGACTTGACTGAGAGGAGCGGCCAGCGGATAATGAAGGTTGAGAGCGTTGGAGAATGGGATAATACGTGATGGAGAGGGGGGACGCTTGTTCATCTTTATATGTTGGACATACCGGGGTCAGCGGAGGGCAGACCTTGCGCCCCTCCCCCTCCTCGTCCACGTCCCTCCTGGTGGAGGGATGGATGGTTTGAGTCTTGGTAAGACGACGGAGAGTGAGGTGACTTGTTGCCGGCCGCCCAGGTCCGCTTCCAACCGGGTAGCAACCGGTTGCCAAAGACGCCGGGGTGCATTTACGGCTGCCGCGTACATACTTGCCAATCTCTATCACTCTCTTCTTTCCCAAAATTTGAATGGCGCGCCTGTCGCACCGAGGGCGCACCTCTCTGGCGCGACGCAGCCACTTGCGCCGGACACATTGTTTTCCGCAGACCGTATGGGGTTTGGGGTGGCAAGCCAAACCGGGCAGGCCCAGGCAAGACAGGGAAGCATGTCGGATGGATGGGACAGGATCAGATGGGATGGGGATGGGATGCCGGGATTGCTGTGTTGGCTTTGCGTCCTCCCCCACGGCACGGACACACAAGAAGGCATGCACGAGGAAAGGCAATGATGTGCGTGGTAGCTCTGCCGTTGTGTTGCGGTGCCTTGTCTTGGCCTCTGGGTAACTCTCTCAGCCAGCCGGGGTGCGCTGTGATGCAAAACAAACCACGGCCAAGAGATCTAAATTTTGATCTCTCTCTACCGGGCCTGGGCTTCATCTCGCTCAGTTGTTTCGCACGGCTGGGTACCGAGGCGTTTCATTCGGGGGAAATGCAACTTCGCCCGTACAGGAAGGCGGCGATAACAAGTCAAGACTCAAAACTTGCCAAGGCGCAAGAAAATCGAGAAATATTTAGAACACGCAGGATGAAAAGGGTCCCTCTGGGGAAAATAGATCTGCGGCCCACCGCCGTGGGCGCTTCTGAAACCCCTTATCAAAAGCGCTCACCGTCAAGTGTCAAAAATGACCGGGCTTTGCGACGACGTCGTTATTTTTGCTCTGTGCTTTTTGGGACCTAGACGAGTCTATTGAAAGATCGTCTTGACATGTGCACGTGGGCCCGCAATTGGCTGAGCCCATGTCGGGCGACAACGACGACGGCGGACGAGACGGGAGAAGAAGAGAAGAGAAGCGGTGGAATGAGAATTGGTCAGAGGCGGATTTCTGACAAACGGGTGGGCGAAGCACAAGGAAGAGAAGGGAAAGTGTTCGCGGGCGGGCGGATGTATCCTTGCAGCACTTGTCTGCGTTGAGTCTACTTGTAGCAACTCTGGCAACTCTCTACGGCGCTCGCTGTCACGCTGTGCTATCCGCAGCAGACGTGGGGTTGGTGCGCTTGTAGAAAAAAAGAAAAAAGGAACGCGAGCCACCCGCAATAAAAAATTGTGAAGCGGGGGGCTCAGGGGTTGTGTGGTGGTGAGTGGATTGTAGGCGGACGGGTGCATCCTGAAGGCTCGCCATCATGAAGTTGCGAAGATAACATCACCAGATTTGATAGCAGAAGACCGGAAGAATGACAAAAATGTGGAGAAAGCCGGCCCTGAGGCTCTTGGAGGAAAACAATACCTAAAGCGTGAGGTAGAGTCCAGAACCCGAAGCCAAGTTGCCGGGCCCCGGAGCGCCGGTCGCGTCTCATTGGGCGCGCCGGAGACCAAAGAGGATTTCTCGGAAGGACGAGAATCGGCAAAGCTGGGGCTGCCATGCCACCCACAACTACCCCCATCACCCCATTTCACTCCGGAGCAAAGGAGCACACCTCGGCTGCGTGTGGGGTACCCGGAGACTGCCGGCTTTGAAGCCCTTCTTGCACATATCGCTCTGTTCCTCCTGATTGCGTCGCCGTCTTGTTCCGTTCCGTCGTCTCCACCCAACCAATCCTTCCCTTCCTCTGACACAGCATTGCCCGACACGGCCGTCATTGCCGCTAGTGGATTCCCGCCAGTAGCCGGCCGCTCGGCTGCTTGGGTGGTTGGCCTCCGTGTCGTCGGGTGTTTGGTACGGGCTGGTGCGGTATGGTGAGGTATGCCACGGCACGGCACGGCGCCGCCTGCATTGCCATGTGTTTGTTCCTGCTTGTAGGATTCGGAATCGAATCCTGAGCTCGATCGAACTTGCCCTGCATCTGTCTTCTTCCCGGGCACTGGATGCTTCAGCCCTGTGGCTCCTTCCCGCTCAGAAGATTCCTTATAGGATTGTGGTCCATGATCGGTCACAACGCGGCATGCAAAATTGACGTTGGCCGCCCTTCGTACTGCATTGTCTCGGCTGCACACGACACTGAGATGAAGTGCTGCCCGACAGTTCCTCCTTCCATATGGCCATGCTGGGGCGAAACTTTCGTTCAGGTCTCTGACCTTGAGTCACTCAGCAAAGCCTAACTGTCAGACAATGGTCAACGTCAGCCGGTCGTCATCGTTGCTCCAGACCCGAAGCCGCGAGTACACTGACTCGCTCTTCCCACTTGCGCAAGACCAGGAGAGGGGTGAGTTCAAAGGTCCCGCATCTAACGCCGCCTCGAAGGACTTTCACGAAGACCACCAACAGCCGCTTGATAGTTGATGGGTGTTGACCAGTGCCTGCAGGTCTTGTCACAAACCAGGCAACACTCCGAATACTCTCCATCTTGATGGACACACCTGGTCATTATCACCAAGACGATGCCTTTTCTGATGCAAGATAGGGGCGAGGCAAGCTCTCTCTGCCCCTTTCACTGCGTCATGTAGATTCGACGACCGCGAGGGGTTCGAGATAGTCCGCAATTTGGGGGAGCAGGTGACGGTTACTCCCTAGTGACAAGTAACTCGTAACCAAGTTCGAGAAGGATGACCAACACGGACAATGAGATGGTGTCAAGGCCGCCTCGCATGCAAACTGCGGGCCGCTCGCGAGTTCCTCGTACGAAGTGGGCAAACAAGGTGATCAACAGTACGTTGGGTGGCACAGCAGCCCATGCGCAAAGGGCGGTGATGCGGAAATGAAGCAGCCACCATGGGCAATCTGTCATCACCTTGGTGAGGGGAAACCTTGTTGCTGATTCCTTCTACCCTCATCACAACCGAGACGCATCTCTGGTGATGAGAGCTTGCATTAGTGGGCACCTGACGCATATTTGCTTGTGGATGGCACGAAGTACTGTACCAAACGATACTTGACGCAGTCGTTCCAACATCGATGAGTATGTCTTCGCTTCCGAGGATGCGTGATGGTTGCCTAGCGTCCCCTCTATCCGTCAAGGATTGCAACATTCCTCGCCGGTCAAGGCTGGCACTATGCGGGTGCGGGCTTGGTGCGGATAGGGGCTAGACATTTCGAGCAATGGCTGCGGGATCAGGAGCGTCGAACAAGGGCAAGACCGAGCTAGGGCGAGCAAAGACGCATGGTGTTCGCCCGCAGCTTCGTGTCCGGTGTTCAATGGGTGTCTCGATCCGCAGATGTTCACCAAGACCGAATCCACGCTCAGGCGTCCTGGTTCTGTTGGTGACGAGGAACAACAAGGTGCAGATGTCATCTCGGCGAAAGGTCCTCTGTACATCCAATGAACGAGTGATCTTACGTCTTCAACTGTTCTTTTCTGCCCTTTTCAGGAGCTGCTTCTTTGGCTGAATGCAGGCATCCCTGCTTCCAGGCCATCCTCGAGGTCGTTGGGACATCGGCGAGGAGCACTGAAAGGGGGTAGAATTGCCCGAACAATTGCGAGGTTTGTCGAGTTATCAAGAGTCCCTTGCTCGAGGAGCCTGTTGTCTGCCATGAATTCTGTCGTTATTCTGAATATTGAGCTGCTGCCATGGGCGGCTACGAAAGGCAACCATGTAGTCGGGTTGGTTGCGCCCCAAGATGTTGGCAGAGCGCTTATATGAACCAGGGTGTACGGCCTCGCATGCTGATTGGTTGTTGGCCAAACACCCGCCGCTGCGACCTGGATCACACCTCGCCTGCTTCAAGAGACCTCAGGTTGTTCTGCGCCAGGCTCGATTAGCAAGCTGTTTTTCGCTCAATTTCCAGTTGGTCTGCTCGGTTGGCGACAATCGCGCTTTCGTTTGTTGGCGCCGCGATATTTTGCCGAGTTGTAAGTGGAACTATCCAAAGCTGCAACGAACCAGGGCCAACCATCATCCGCTCACTTCCGCCGGTTGGGGGCAGTGTTGCAGCTAAGCAGCCTTGATGTGTTGTTGGGTCGCTTGTCGAGGAGGACAAGTCTCGAGAGACGAGCAATAATTTGACATTCATCCCTGCTGCTTTCGTCGGTTTTCCTAAAGCAGGTTGTTGATTCTGACTGCATGGTGATGAGATGGGTCGATTCTTCTTTTGCTAGTTGCGGTGGCATATGTGATACAAGTATCTCTTGAGACAGGCTTCAACCTGCACTGTCGACCATCGATTTCAGTCACTTCTGTGGGCCTTCCTGTCGACCGGCAACGTCATGGGCAACCGAGATGTTGGTCAGGGCTGATTTCGAGCTTCAGAATGAAGTTTACCGGGTGATCTGGCAGCGAATGCCAACGGACTGGCTTGGGTATCCACTAGAGAGGAAGTCAGGGTAAACACTGCTGTTGCTCATTGGCGTCAGCGACTGCCGTGATGTCAGCCTCTCTGGCTGGGAACTGATAATTGTTGCAGAATGGTAGACAGACCCCATGTTGATCAAAAAGTCTTTCGTGAATGCCATAAAAGGGGTTGATGTCGAGCTCGTGTTGGAGTCTGTAATGCTGAAGAAGGTAGGGGCTGCCCAGGGGAACAGCACTGTCATGCGAGGTACTTCTCTGCGCCGAAAGGCAACGGTACATGGGAGAGAGGGGCATCCAGAAGGAGGGGTACCTCATCCGTCGGTAGGTTGGAGTGCTCGG